GTGGGCTGGAACTCGGTGATGTCGATGCCGTTGTCCGTGTACACTTGCAGAGCGTCGTTCTGTGTATAAATTATTATATATTTTTTTGCAAAATTACTAGGCTTAAATAGATTCATATTCTTAATTCTTACTAGTTCGAAAGATCAATAGATTCTATTGTATATTTTCAGTGGGAAGCATAGTTTTTCAAATTTTTCATAGGCTCCTTGTAAGCTCTTCAGACGGACATTAGGAAATATAAAGACAGCTTCGGCTTCAGTGTTTTCGCATTAAAAATGCGGACAGCTGTTATAACACTACTATCCCAACACCGCTCCCCACATCGTAATATCGGTCATTATTAAAACAGAAAAGGTGGATTAAATATAGACAATACATCGAATTTTATTCACTCATTGAAAAGTCACGCATTATTAAAAAAGACGTATCTTTATAAGTTAGGAGGAAAATCTCACACCCTAATTTTATTAGTAATATTTTCGTTGATTTAAGCAAAAGTGTGTGGCGACTTTAAGTTGATGAAAAAAATGTGCAAGCTCTATATATGTATAAGTGTGCAGGCAATGAGTGGATCGTGATAAATTTGACGATTTATATCCCGATTATTGTGGTTAAGTTCACGCAAAAATTGATTTATATTTGTTTAATGCTCCCGTAGAATAATGCAATTAAAGAGGAACCATAATAGTTCGATACACATATTCAAACAAGTCTTTTGATTTTGAGTGTAAATAGCGTTCCAAAGCCTGACCAGCCGCCTATACTTTCAAAAAAGTTTAGGGATCGTAAGTTCATACGCCAATCATTGACGGCCTTTTAAGCCAAATCCTTACGTTCACTTAGCGAGTTTTAAAAGTATGGCCCCTGATCTCTGCTTCTGTTGGGTATCCCTGATGTATACATTCAAAAATACTAACAATAGTAACAATTCATAAAAATCCACCAGTGTCTCGAAGGCATCGCGAAATTATGCTTTTTTACAGTTTAATTACAATATTTCGTAATTATTATGCTTTTTTACAGTTTAATTACAATATTTCGTAATTTTCATGCTTTTTTACAATTTAATTATACTATTTTGTAATTATTATGATTTATTTACATTTTAATTACAATATTTCGTAATTATTATGCCTTTTTACAGTTTAATTACAATATTTCGTAATTTTCCTGCCTTTTTTGCAGTTTACTCACAATATTTCGTAATTATTATGCTTTTTTAAATTTGAATTACAATATTTCGTAATTATTATGCTTTTTTACATTTTGATTGCAATATTTCGTAATTTTTAGGCTTTTTTACAGTTTAATTATAATATTTCGTAAGTATCATGCTGTCTATACATTTTAATCACAATATTTGGTAATTATTCGGCTTTTTTTACAGTTTAATTGCAGTATTTCGTATTTATTATGCTGTCTTTACAGTTTAATTACAATATTTCGTTATTATTATTTATTCTTAACAGTTTAATTACGTTATTTCATAATATATATGTTTTTTACATTTTTAATTACAATATTTCGTAATTATTATGCTTATTTACAGTTTAATTACGTTATTTCATAATTTACATGTTTTTTACATTTTAATTACAATATTTCGTCATTATTATACCTTTTTTACATCTTAATTACAATATTTCGTAATTATTATGATTTTTACAGTTTAGTATGATATTTCGTAATCATTATGCCGATTATACTGTGTAATTACAATATTTTGCAATAAATATGCTTACCCCTCTATGTATTTTATTGACTGTCGGCAGATTTCGTAAGTATTACTCACCTCACTTTGTATTTCAGTGAATTTTATTTTTATTAAGCACATACAAATTTGCTTTAAAGGAAAGATTTACGCACAGAGGTAGCCATAGTCGCCGGTGACGCAGTCCAAGCCGCGCTCCATAAGCCCAGTCTGGAAACGTCTGTTCTCGTACCACCGGCCGAGGTACTGCATGTAAACTTGGTGTTAATGGGTGTATTATCCGATGTATTGTATCGGGATTATATGAGCACTATTTGAATATATAACAGGGAATAAATTTTATACTCGAATTCATAGCTCCGGCAAGCTACTGTCCATACCCGAACAAAATTTGGGTTCCACCTAGGCTTGTGCTCAGGAGTCGCTACACTCGGCACAAAGATTTTCTGGTTCTGCTTGGTCATCCGATCGAAATCAGCTTCTGTTTCTGACTCTTCTTTGCGACTTTATTATGTCTTGAGGGTATGAGGAGGGTTGGCCGAAGCCTGGACTTACCGAGCATGCATCACTTATAAGATGCACACTTATATATTGCTTAAATTTGCACGTAAGTTAAATGATGGCTTCTAACTTATACAGTGAATATATTTAGATTATTAATATTATATTGACATTGAAACCAGAGTAACACGCGCGACGACAGTGAGATATACAAGCAAGCGTTGTTTTCTCAGTGCCAACCATGCCGGGATTTATACAGTGGGGAAAATAAGTATCTTGTCAGTCGCCAATTGTGCAAGTTCTCCCACTTGAAATGATGATAGAGGCCTGCAATTGACATCTATAGATAGACCTCAACTATGAAAGACGAAATGTAAAAAAAAAATTAAGAAAATCATTTGTCGGACTTTAAGGGGGAGACAAATAGTGGGAGAACTTGCACAATTGGTGACTGACTAAATACTTAATTTCCCTACTGTATATAAGGAGGCAACAGTGATGTAGCAGAAGTGAAAGAACAGTGATTTAGTGAAGCGCAGTAATTATAAGTAATGAAGCAACCGTGATAATATTGGATAATGAATTCTGTTGTGCATTAATATTGAATTGAAAGTTGTGCAATAAGATTTCATTTTCGGTATATTTTTTAAATTGCATTCAAATCATATCCACCGTATCTCCTTGTAGTATCCGATGATCATTGGACGTGTGATTACATGTTAGAATCATGCAAAATTTCGATTTGCCCTTATATCAATACTGTGTTAAATCAAAATCTTAAATACTGTGTTCAATACTCTGTTAATTCAAATCTTAAATACTGTGTTAAATACTGTGTTAATTCAAATATTAAATACTGTATTCAATAGTGTGGTAATTCAAATCTTAAATACTGTGTTAAATAGTGTGTTAATTCAAATCTTAAATACTGTGTTCAATACTGTGTTAATTCAAATCTTAAATACTATGTTAAATACTGTGTAAAATCAAATGAAATCTCTAAATCAAAATCTTTCACTCACGGGCTCCACTTCGAAAGTCTGCATGTTAGTGAAGTCCGGGCACAGACCGAGCTCGATGTCTGCCAGGGCTACATTGACGAACAACAGAGGCAGCAGCAGCAGTGAAAACTGACTGTAGGGATGTGTTATATGAAGAATATTGCACTATATTTAAGACTACATTATCATTTAGCTGCAAAACCGACTATATAGGGATAAGTTACATATATGAACAATATTGTGATATATTCAAGCCTGCATTATCATTTAGCTGCAAATATTGCTCGTTCGTTTAGAAAAAATAATAGGTTATATTGTCTAAATTGTGATACGCTTTTTCTTGACTCGCAGCACGAGCAGAGACTATATTAGCCGTAGCACTGATATATATAAGCTTTTTTGCCTGACCAAACTGTGTCAGCATGACCTACATAATGGCGAAAAACGTGTCACTTTTTGGATAGTGTTTTTTTTTTGTGGCTGCGTCATTATTTTGGTTTGTTCATTTTTAGCGCATTTTCTCATTTATGAAAAAATGCACTATTGTGATCCCCATGTCCGTCTGTCCGTCCGTCTGTCTGTCCGTCCGTGACTTCCCGTTTTCGTCGACGAGAAAATGCGCTCTCTGTCACTGCAGTGAGAATTGAGTTATATTTTTTTTTGGTTTGGCAGCGTCATTTTTTTTGTTTGTTGATGTTTTGATCGACGGTTGCCTTTTTCATCTTGCGGCTGTGCGTGTTCTTAGAATTGAGCCTGGATTATTAGACAGACCATCTGACCTAACCTAGTCAGATCTGTGAACCGTAGCCATGATCCATACTTCAGTCATAGCTACGAAATGATGATTCACAGAAAGGGGCTTAATTGGGTCAAATTAATATCACAAAAATATCATAAAATACATATAATAATGATCGGGACCCCTAATATAAAAGAACAATCGTACAAGATATAAAGCGGCTTGACTGAACCTTGAAAATCAGAGTCGAGACTAGTTAACATTTCAAATCGAACGTAAAGTTTAAAAGAAGACGAAATAAAATATTATGGGTGGCTGCATCCCATCGACCTTTTCTAGTTTGATTCCGTAAATATCGCCATACAATAAAATTTGAAACTTTTATTCGATCTTGGGAGATAGGGATATTTTATTTGAAATATAAACACATGCGGTAAAGATTATGTATGTGACAGCAGTGCTAAGGTGGGTATAACCTAATATAGTACGTATTTGCATTCATTACTCCATTACTCTTACTTGCAGTCATTTATCTTACTTGCAGTCATTACTCATACCTGCAGTCATTACTCTTACTTGCATTCATTACTCTTACTTGCAGTCATTACTCTTACTTCATTTTGAAGAACAACGCTGGAAATTTCCCCGTACTTCTTAGTCGTCAGGCGGTTAGTGATTCACTGATTATCCTGCCGCTTGAACGCGTCTTCGTTAGCATCTGCCTTTCCCATGCCCCACGCGGCGACAGCGTGACATGTAAATATCAAGTGCTGTTATGTAATGCAAAATTACGTGTTTTAACTGTGTAACTTTGCGAATTTACAAGCGAAATGGAACATTTTTTTTTTGTGGTATGGTAGTATGAATTGAATCGATGGTACCTACCATGTAAAGGAAATTTTCTTTGACTTGTTTAGTCGTTAAATGGAAAATAGAACGCTGCTGTCCAGGTATCACTATAGATAATCAGAATGTTGCGTAATACTTTCGTGATTTTGCTCATATTGTACAGATGAAATTTTTTGTTGCATCACATTTTCAACCTTAAACATCAAGTTAGGTTTACAGAACTGTGTTTTTTTAATTGAATATCTGTAACACAAATCTGTCATGCATGAGGGAAGAGCAAAGTCATATTTAAATGTTATTAATCAAAATTACCAATGAAGATGTTTATTTATTTGTGAATATTTTAATTTGTGAACACAATTTTTCATTTTAGACGTGGATTCAGCAATAAAGACATTCTATTTATCTCAGAACTTCTATTATACTGTGTATTGTCGACTTACATTTAATATTCACTAAACAAAAATTTGGATGAAGCACTTACAGGGTTGGTTTAAAAATCAATCATTTTTCCTAAAATTATTCTGTCATTAGGTATGTCCAGCTCGAAATTTTGCCCAGTCCAATGTCGAGTGGATTGAATAGATTTAATCGTTCTACATGGGAGCGATTCAAGTGTTAATAATTAGTCTCGGAGATCAGGACGAAAATGTTATAAAATCATAAAGAATTTTTCAGAAGCGTGATGCCGGTAAAGCTTGCATGAGAGAACAGAGTCGTTTACACAATCAATGGCTTTTGCAAGTCAAAGGAAAATACGACTGTGCATCTTTTTTTTTTGTTTTTTTGAAACGGGAAGCCCTCTAGTCAAGAGTAGGGCTCATTAAATGATAACGAATTTCTTATTTGTGGCTCTAATATATCTTCACGTCTGCTCTGGTTGAAATGCTATCTAATTTATTTATGTTTCTCAAAAAATTGGATTATGCTCCTAATTCACTAAATTAATGACCAGAGTTATAATTAATAAAAATAAATAATACCTTCTAACTAAAAATTGATACGAATGCAGCAAACAAAATTCAAATTCGATCACTTTTTGGCAGATGAACCTCAAAAAATTTTATTTTATTACATTGATATTTATAAACTATATTTATACTCCAACTTGACGTGCCTGATGGTTAATTAACAGCAATTTCCATTCAATTCATGAGTCTTAATTCGATCCTGACCTACAAATACGAATAAAAAATGGCATAAAATTCGATATTAAATTTTCGACTACATAATTAAACGAACAATACCAAATAATTTTCGACTGTATAATTAAACGGACTATTTACAAATATTATAGTATTTCGTTTATGGAAGCCCGTTTTGTTAATTAGTTAAATTATCGCAGGCTTTGCATCAATATTACCTTAATTGGGAAAAAATCATGCTGAACTTTATGAGCATCATTTATGCATTATTATTTAAAATTTATATGATATTTTTCGATACTATAGTTCGAATATAGATTTACCAGTGTTGAAATGAATCCATTATTAAAATTTTCAAAAACTAGTAACGGCGAATATTTGACATGAAATTCTGAATAAATTTTAGAACAATTGACTTCTTATAATAAGTCGGTGACATTCATGTCTGAAAAAGTACATGCCAGAAGCTTGTGGAATTTTTTTCACGTTAGTTCATCAATCTGTACATAAATGCCTAATACAAAAGATTTTTTACAATTTCCTTCATTATTCATTTATTGAATACAATGTAAGCATTTCACATCAAAAATGTTATTAATTAACTGAGGTTCGTTGGCAGGATCCGAATATGAAAGCATGGAACAAACTATTGATAACTTTGAGAAAAGTGAATTATGACGATTATTATCGAAGAAATATCCTTAAATTTTTAAATTTAGTTTGTACACGCCAATGACTTATTTGAGATTGACGGGGACTGTGAATCATCAGATCACTTTTGAGTTGATGTTGAATATATAAGGCAGAAATTTTCACGAATTTTCTATTTTTTTTTGTCATTTTGCATTAGAACTGGCATGACAGGTTACAATGATGCACGATCGAAGACGGCACCGAACAGAGGAATATGAAGCGTTAATGGTCTTTGTGGCAGGTTTTAATGAAGCTTAAACGATCATTTATTGGAGTTCGATATCGCGGCGAACGTGGCATGGAGACGGAGACTGAAAGGAACCTTCAAACGACAGCCGTTCAAAATGGCTTCAATTATTCGGCCTTTCCAAACTTGAAGGTTTCTATTCCGATGCGAATATTTTTTACTAGACTGACATCGAATGAGAAAGAAAAGATTGAATGGCTTCGAACTTTTCAGACCGATTTGAGTGGCTAGAAGTTAAATGAGATTTTACGCACCTGAGAAACTGTCATGACATAAAAGCTTTCGATAATCGAGCGATCGGCTCCTAGATTTTTCTTCTCTATCTCATTTGATTTGGGAATGCGCTGGGGCGAATGGAAACGTGAGATGCCCGTTGGTAAAATCGAAGCTTCACGTTAGGATTGTTCGGGTGAATCGAATGAAATTTTGGCTCGCAGCGAATGAAGGAGGTTATTGTGGAAATATAGATTATCTTATTTATTTCCTGTCGTGAAGATGTATACAAAATTCCGTGTTTTTGTTTGTACTAGTCGGAATCATCATTCATGATTACTCTTACTTCATTTTGAAGAACAACGCTGGAAATTTCCCCGTACTTCTTAGTCGTCAGGCGGTTAGTGATTCACTGATTATCCTGCCGCTTGAACGCGTCTTCGTTAGCATCTGCCTTTCCCATGCCCCACGCGGCGACAGCGTGACATGTAAATATCAAGTGCTGTTATGTAATGCAAAATTACGTGTTTTAACTGTGTAACTTTGCGAATTTACAAGCGAAATGGAAGATTTTTTTTTTGTGGTATGGTAGTATGAATTGAATCGATGGTACCTACCATGTAAAGGAAATTTTCTTTGACTTGTTTAGTCGTTAAATGGAAAATAGAACGCTGTTGCCCAGGTATCGCTATAGATAATCAGAATGTTGCGTAATACTTTCGTGATTTTGCTCATATTGTACAGATGAAATTTTTTGTTGCATCACATTTTCAACCTTAAACATCAAGTTAGGTTTACAGAACTGTGTTTTTTTAATTGAATATCTGTAACACAAATCTGTCATGCATGAGGGAAGAGCAAAGTCATATTTAAATGTTATTAATCAAAATTACCAATGAAGATGTTTATTTATTTGTGAATATTTTAATTTGTGAACACAATTTTTCATTTTAGACGTGGATTCAGCAATAAAGACATTCTATTTATCTCAGAACTTCTATTATACTGTGTATTGTCGACTTACATTTAATATTCACTAAACAAAAATTTGGATGAAGCACTTACAGGGTTGGTTTAAAAATCAATCATTTTTCCTAAAATTATTCTGTCATTAGGTATGTCCAGCTCGAAATTTTGCCCAGTCCAATGTCGAGTGGATTGAATAGATTTAATCGTTCTACATGGGAGCGATTCAAGTGTTAATAATTAGTCTCGGAGATCAGGACGAAAATGTTATAAAATCATAAATAATTTTTCCCGGGCACGATGACGGTAAAGCTTGAGAGAACCGAGTCGCTTACGCAATCAATGGCTCTTGCAAGTCAAAGGAAAATACGACTGTGCATCTTTTTTTTTTGTTTTTTTGAAACGGGAAGCCCTCTAGTCAAGAGTAGGGCTCATTAAATGATAACGAATTTCTTATTTGTGGCTCTAATATATCTTCACGTCTGCTCTGGTTGAAATGCTATCTAATTTATTTATGTTTCTCAAAAAATTGGATTATGCTCCTAATTCACTAAATTAATGACCAGAGTTATAATTAATAAAAATAAATAATACCTTCTAACTAAAAATTGATACGAATGCAGCAAACAAAATTCAAATTCGATCACTTTTTGGCAGATGAACCTCAAAAAATTTTATTTTATTACATTGATATTTATAAACTATATTTATACTCCAACTTGACGTGCCTGATGGTTAATTAACAGCAATTTCCATTCAATTCATGAGTCTTAATTCGATCCTGACCTACAAATACGAATAAAAAATGGCATAAAATTCGATATTAAATTTTCGACTACATAATTAAACGAACAATACCAAATAATTTTCGACTGTATAATTAAACGGACTATTTACAAATATTATAGTATTTCGTTTATGGAAGCCCGTTTTGTTAATTAGTTAAATTATCGCAGGCTTTGCATCAATATTACCTTAATTGGGAAAAAATCATGCTGAACTTTATGAGCATCATTTATGCATTATTATTTAAAATTTATATGATATTTTTCGATACTATAGTTCGAATATAGATTTACCAGTGTTGAAATGAATCCATTATTAAAATTTTCAAAAACTAGTAACGGCGAATATTTGACATGAAATTCTGAATAAATTTTAGAACAATTGACTTCTTATAATAAGTCGGTGACATTCATGTCTGAAAAAGTACATGCCAGAAGCTTGTGGAATTTTTTTCACGTTAGTTCATCAATCTGTACATAAATGCCTAATACCTAATGCAAAAAAATGCCTAATACTTGCTCGCGTGATAATTTGCAATGTTCATACACTCCATGATATGATGAACAACATCATCTTGATAAAGTTTATACATTTACTATTTAATGAACTATGAATGCTAAGCCTATTGCGGCCTACATAACCTTTTGTGTGATCAAGGGAGAAAGGAATGGCTTAAGATCTCGTAATGAAAGTAGTTCTATGGGCTACAGCTTCATGTCCGCTGTAGTCGAAATGCTATTCAATTTATTTATGCTTTTAAATAAAATATATTATGC